TACGTGAAAGTATTTCAAATGAAAATAACACATAACTAATTTTTAATGCAAAGTATCAGCTAAAAAGGCAGTTAGTTTAGGTATTTGTATGACTAACATATAATAATTAAATGCATATAATCAAATATTTTTATTTATATATATATGTATTTAGATATGCATATGTGCGTACAGGTGTAATGCTTATTGCCAGAATTCAAATTTATACTATCACTAAGCGTAGAGCTCAAATAAAAAAGAGTAACGACCTGCCATCAAATTAATAACCGGAATTTTGGTAAGCCAAGAGATAGCAATGATCATAAAATAATTTTCTATGTAACACTTCATAAATTACAAGCAAGGCATTAAGATGGGATATAGGTATAACAGTGTTGCATTTGACTGCACTAAAAATAGACAACGCTTGGAGAATAAAGTTTGGGGTATTTCTATATTTATGGAATTATCACTTTATAATAAAAATGTACATAAATATGGTGAAAAGGCAACCTAAATGAATCAGAATACAAAAAAGAGTAAGACAAAATAAATGAAAATAATGAAATAAAATTAAAAAAAAATGAAATGAAATAAAATAAAAAAAAATTAAATTAAATAATTAAAAAAAAAAAAATAAAACGAAATAAAATAAAACAAAATAAAATAAAATAAAATAAAATAAAATAAAATAAAATAAAATAAAATAAAATAAAATAAAATAAAATAAAATAAAGTAAAATAAAATGAAATAAAAAAAATAAAATAAAATTAAATAAAACAAAATAAAATTAAATTAAATTAAACAAAATAATTAAAATAAAATAAAGTAAAATAAAATGAAATAAAAAAATAAAATAAAATTAAATAAAACAAAATGAACAAAAAAAAGAGAATTTGAAAAATTTAGAAAAAACTTTTTCAAATACACCTTTTACCAACACCCCTAATAATTTGTATGTCTTTTCCATACACACAGTAAATAATGCTTATTAGATAACAATGGCATTTTAACACTGTTAGTTCATTAAAGTTTATTAAGTTTTCTGGCAATTTAGTTAGCTTAGTTTAGTTGGCTAGTTATCTCACCCGATGTGGTGCGCCCAGCAAGCGTATGATGGTGCTCAATTGTGTGGCCAATGGCATTGTAGCGGCAAAGCCATAGGTTGGCGCACGCGTCGGTATGGGATACATGGCGGTGCAATTGAGCGGTTCAGTGTCGACCAGATACTGCACCCGCAATGTAATCAATTCGTCTGGATCCATTTTCACTATCATTTTGTTGTGGGTGGGTGTGTGTGTGCGGTGTGCGTTGTTTTTGCTGTTTTGCTGCAGAGCGTTAGCTCGCAAAAACTGCTACCTTCAGGTTAGGTGCGTATAATGTTTAATTTCTTGTTTTATTTACTTTCTATCGTTATTTTGTATTTTTTCTTTGTTATTTTATTATCTCAATACATACACACAACACAAACACAAATTCACACTAGTAATAATTCACTAATGTGTTGTTATGTATTTAGACAGGTGTTTGTATGTAGCATATGAGAGTTTTCGCTTTCCGCCACTTGTGAACCGTTAAATAACATGTTTAACTTAGATAATTTGGCTAAACTTTATTTTGGTTTTAACTCATTTTTTATGATTCTCGTTTTTGTCTTTTTCGTCGCCGATTATTGCATATTTATGTTGTTTGCTTTTCACTTATTGTTTTTTCTTTCTGAGGATTTTATATATATATACGTTATGCAGTATATTTTTCACCCTTCTTTTGTAGCCGCAGTTAATTTATTAAATCACTTTCATTGTTCACTAACCGGCGGCACTTTTTCGCTGTTTCTTCCTTGCCTGCTTTGTTGTGGTTAAAATACAGCGGCGTTTGGTTTGTCGCTCTGAAAATGGTTAGCAAATTATTTTTAAAACAATTTGTAGTAAAAACTTGCAAAATCGCAAAGATGTTTTCTCACAATTTGTTTGTCTTGTCGTAGGAAACTCGCTGCTGCCCGGTTTAACGTTGTATTTACCGTTATATATTATCTTACAAGCGTATTTTCGATTTAGGTTTAAAAACAGTACTACAATAATGTAAAGGTAACTAGAAGATAAGCAAATCTCAACAAGGTTTCTATAAAGATTGCTGAACCTGTATTATTGCAGGTCATAAATGCTCTTAGAAAATAATAGTCTGCTACCGTTATTCTTTTTATTTTTAGCTTTGACCCATTAACATGTTTTTAATATGTTTTTAATAACAAACGATTTTACATTTAATTTTACTTTGGTGTTATTTTATTATTTATTTGATTTCATTTCGTTTTTTATATTAATTGAAGTATATCTAATTTGTTTTTATTTTATTTAATTTTATTTCTTTTATTTTTTTAGTCAATTCCATAATATTTCATTCCCATTTATTGCATCCAGTTAAGGAGTAACTTTCATTTGTTAGCGACAGCTATGCTGCTAGCCAATTGTTTCAATTTATGTCAATTTATTTTATTTTACTTTTTTGTCTTATTTTATTTTATTTCATTTCATTTCATTTCATTTCATTTCATTTCATTTCATTTCATTTCATTTCATTTCATTTCATTTCATTTCATTTCATTTCATTTCATTTCATTTCATNATTTTATTTTTTTTTTAGATTTTTTTTAAATAACAGTTTTTCAATTAACATTGTTCCTTTTTAATTTTTATTTTTTTATTCTTATTTTTTATTTTATTTTTATTTTTGTTTTATGCGTAATTACATTTTAATTTATTTGCAATGTAAGCATGTGTAAAACAATGTGAGGGGGAGTGTTCCATTGTAAAAAAGAATGTAGTTAACAATATGTATGTGTAGTCCATAGCTAACACCCGCCCATTATGCTAAATACGAAACATAAATATACATAACAACTTAAACAAATTGCTCAACACGCCCAATAAACGATACAATTACAATTCAGCACAAATCGTACATATGGTAATCGGCGATGGTGCACAAATATACGCACATTTATTGGTGTACTACAATATTTTCTCATCAACATTGGCAAACACGTCAGAGCACCCACATTTTCTGAAGAAAAAAGTATCAAAAGCTATCGACATTGTGACGCAATTGGGCTCAAACTTGGCAACTTCGGCTGGCTTAATCAACTTGGCTTCGCAGACTCGTTAGCTGAGTTGGATTTTCGCAGCTTGACTTTGGCTTCACTTTCGCATTTATGTAATATTTAAATTAAATAATTTTGAGTGAGTTTAAGTAAGTGTTTTTTATACTTCGGAAATGGAAAACGAAACTCTAAAGTGAAAACTTGTTGAAGCATTACCAAATTTTATGGATTCTCCATATCGATAAATGTGCGTCTACCAAAAATAACTTGCAAAACTTCTTCCCCCATAACGAATTATTTTTTTAATTCAGCAGAAGAAACTTGAATCATATGAATATGGGTATAATAATTACATAAAGGCCAGTAGACACTGAAAATTTATTTAAAAAAAAAGTTCAAACGCAAATTCTTAGAGCCAGAAAATTTACCTTCAAATGTCTCATTAACCGCACTTAGTCACGTTCTGAGTTTTAGATTGAATTTGTAGTTAGTTTTTTCCACTTTTATTCTTCTTTTAATTCTTTAAGGTCAGTGTTAGATGCCAATTGCTTGGGTTTCAGTGGAAGCTCGGTAATTTGACTAAGTATCTCAAATACTTCTTAAAAGCTCAAATATGCTCACCTTCAGAACAGTTACGGGGAATTCATTTAAAAGAATGGATAATGTGAATTAATGTATATATTAAGAACTCTTGAGTACTGAGACAGCAAGGGAGCGAGTGAGACAAGAGTGTGAAATAAGATTAATTAGGCTAGAGAGTGAAGTAGAAAGTGAAATGCTTCTAGCGCTCTTCAAGATACACAAATACTAAAAGAGTTTCTTCACTTCTCAATCTGCAAGTTAGGTAATAAAGAGAGCTTGGAGATAGCAAATGCTTTACTCATCGACCCCTTATTGAGAAACATTTTGAGGCACGAAAAGTTTTTATACCTTCTCGGCATTACAAAAAGCACGTTCGAGTAAAAAAGCTTTACAGAAGGTAAAGGTCCGTGGTTTTTATATATTTACAGATGATTCCTAGATCCATTCAAGATTTCACTTTAAAGAACTCTCACCCTCCAACTCCTGCTATACTCGTTTAACTGATGTCCTCTTGAAAAGGATAAAGCAATATTTTTTAGCTATCGCCAAGCTTTTTTAAATGCAAGTCTCTTATTTATATTTTTAGCTATAAAAATCTCATGAAGCCATGAACTTTGAAATTTATTAACCGGAGAATCTGCTTAAGAGGCAGTTTCCTAGATTAATCGGTACTCATTGTATCACCTTATTGATGAAAGGAAAGCTTAAGGAGCAGCAGATTCAGGCATATCTCCTGACTCTAAAAGTTTAAAACAACGAAATTTGTATTCCCTAACAGTAAAATTCTAAAAGATCAAGGTTAATATAATCTGTCCGAGAGATATGTCTGCAAAGAAACTCCAATCTCAGGCAGAGAGTTTTGGAGGATTAAAAAAACAGAGAGAGAGAGAGAGGAAGAGGGAAAGAGAGAGAGTAACTCGGTACTGCTTATTGCGAGTAATCTCTCAGCGACCCCACCGAAAGGAAACTATTATGCTCCTTCCTTCATTTCCTCCGTCAGCTCTTCTTGTAACTTGGAAAAAAACCTGTATTTTTTTTCTTTGAATGTGTTGTTGGTCTGATAGGAATTTGAATTAAGGATCCTCCACAGCCATACACATCCATCCCTTTAAGGGCCGAGAATATAAACTTTAAATTATATTTGAATAAATCATTTGGTGGAGCTCCCTCCTTCTACAGCCAGCTATCTCGTATACAAACCTTAAACATTTATATTGTATTATTTTTTTTTATCTTCTTCAAAAAGCTTTGTTCAACACTAGATTCTCCAAACAAAAAAACTACTTGAAATTGTCAAAATAAAAATTGATTTATATTTCAATTGAAAAAAGACTATCACCAAAGAAATAAATAAAATTCGTCAACATTAAAAAAATATGCTTACGCAGCTTCATCGCCTCACACCGCTGATCTTACGACGAACAGCCGACTTAGCGCAACACCACAGCTCCTCAACTATCTGCGCACAATCCCTGCAGTACTGCGAATATGGCGAACCTGGTGATGTGTTGCAACTCGTCGAAGTGAGTGTAGGCGAGCCCAAGGCTAACGAAGTGCTTGTGCAAATGCTCGCCGCACCCATTAATCCCTCGGATATCAACACCATACAAGGGAAGTATCCGATAAAGTTACCCTTGCCTGCAATAGCCGGCAATGAAGGCGTGGCAAAAGTTCTAAAAGTCGGCGACAATGTGAAGAACTTCAAACAAGGACAACGCGTCGTTATCGTGGAGAATGCGTTGGGCACATGGCGTACACACGGCAACTTTGCGGAACACCAGCTGATGTGTGTGCCGAATAAAATTGACTTAGCCACAGCGGCCACACTGGTTGTGAATCCACCGACCGCATATCGCATGCTGAAGGACTTCGTGCCACTCGCACAGAGCGATTGCATAATACAAAATGGCGCCAATAGTGCTGTGGGCCAATTGGTACATCAGCTGTGTAAAGCATGGGGTCTCAAATCGATTGGTGTGGTGCGTGATCGTGCCAATTTCGATGAGCTCAAAACATATCTTCGACTACTCGGTGCAACGGAAGTACTCACCGAAGAGGAATTGGCGCATAAGGATGTCGACAAGAAACTCTGCAAGCTCGCCAGTCCACGGTTGGCGCTCAATTGTGTTGGCGGTAAGAATGCTTCGAATATTGCAAAGCTTCTCGCGCCCAAAGGTGTTATGGTCACATATGGCGGCATGTCGCGTAAGCCGGTGATGGTTTCAACGCCAGCGCTTATATTTAAAAATATCTCATTTTGTGGCTTTTGGATAACACGTTGGATGAAGGAACACAAGGCTAAGCCGGAGCGTGAGAAAATGTTCGCCGACCTCTTGGAGTTGTTGGACCAGGGCAAATTGAAAAGTGTGAAGCATGAGTTGGTGCCATTAAAAGATTACAAAGTGACGGTCACAGCAGCTCTAGACATTAAAGGCTTGGTTGGAAAGAAATACATATTTGACATGCAGTGCTGAGCTAGAAATAAATGTTTTTTTGTTTTTTCACTAAATTACCAAATTGGTTCTTTGAAAATGTGGAACTGTTTATGAGTTCTCTTCCAGAAATACACCTTCGAGAACGCTTTAAGTCTTCCAAACCTCCCTCTGTCGAGTGCATAACTTTCGAAAGTCTGCGGCAAATACCCCAACAAGTTTTCTCATATTCGAAACTAGGAATACTAAAAAGTCCTCTGATTAATAGAAGGAACTACTAGGGACTGCACCAATAGTGAGTGCCTGATTGACGTGGCTGAACTACAGCTGCAGAGGTTGCCGTAAGCTTCGAAGCTAGGACATTATTCTCCGCAAAGCTCATCGGACATAACTTTATTCCTCACTGCACAGAAATGGCTTATGATTTCTAACTAACTGGTCTAGCAGCTTCTCCTCTGCTAATAATTCTGCATGAATTAGACCATTCGGAGCAATGGTTTTGGAACAGGAGAGCAATAAATTATATCGGGACATTTCACAATCTTCTCTCACAGGGAGAATATTTAAAGCAAGATCTATATCTTAGAGCTTAGTATCAATATTTCGAGTCTCTTTTAACTAAGTTTTGGGTTAAACGCTTCGGATTAAAACATCCCTAAGGAAAGTCAGTATTAATAGGGTCAGCCATCTTTGGGATCTTTGGGAAAAATGAAGCGTGTGGATATTAAGTTTGACGACCGAGCCTAACTGGGTACTACCCGATCGCTGACAACTTTGAATATGAAGAGCTTTCGTCTAATCGAAAATAAGTCCATCTGCTATTGCAAGAGTTAGAGAAATTTTACAAAACCTCGGTGAGCATTTCTACAAGCGACATTAGTGAAACTCGCAAAATTAGAAGCTTTCAGGCTCTACGAAGATTACAAAACTAATACGCATTGAAGATCACATACCTTCTCTAAAGAGTCTTGGGGTTCAAATTTGATTTATAACCATCGCTAAACAATAGACGTCTTCGGGAATGGTCCGTGTTTCAGAAATATGACTGACGGATCACCCCACAGCCTAAACCAATGATTGTAGATACCCGGAACTTAGAGGGTGTGCTCTGCGTATGACGCATGCAACCGATAAGAAAAGATTTTCCGGGAGAGGACCTGGGACTCTGGACCGAAACAACGTAAACCAGCCTAATTAATCCACGGGTTGCAAAGAAGTACAAAGATCTCCCAGCTGGTGGAGAGATCAAGATGAGAGAAATTTCGCTTAGCAACGTACAGTCTTTGGCATTATGTCACCACGAGGGAAGAAATGGTTGACTTGCTAATGTGAATACAGCCCACATTTACTAGGCACAAGTACTAAATGCGTTTCAGCCATTTCGCTGAGCTCCGGCTCATACAAAACCCATACACGGTATTCCAGAAATTGCGGCTTATCAGTTATTAACGCATGGAGAGTTAGTAGTACGGCTACTGGCTAGATCAATTTCTAAAAAAGTATTTGGGTTTCCGCTCTATAGGAAAATGCGAAAATCTCCGAGGTATTTTAATGCTTTATAACCAATCTTACAGTTAACAGCCGAGCTCCTCAACAGATTTTGGTGTGTGTTTAGATGTTCCATTCGCCTGATGATCTCATATGATCACTTCAAACGAAAGAAGCATAAAGCTTCCGAAACCGTTTTTAATTTATTTATGCCATTTGCTGTCAACTGAGACCTTGAAACCAGAGGATTTCTTTGAAAAGGTCGGCAGTAAAGAAAAAAGCCAAAACCATAACTTTTTGCCCCATGAGTGAGAAAACATCCGCCTCTCTACTCACAGACCCAAAACAAAAACAAAAGCAACCAAATTCAACATTTTTTCCCAGCTTTTGCGTTGTTACCTTCTCCTTTGGCTACCTCCGATTGCCGCCTTTTAATATTTTTATTTTTCATTTTTTTATTTTTTTTTTTTTTTTTNTTTTTTTTTTGTTTTTTTACTTTTGCTTTCAACATCTTCCACTTAAAATGCGTTTTATTTCGTTTGCGTGGGAACGTGGCGCAAAAGAGGAAATACCGTTGCATGTCAGCTGGTAACTACCAACTAAGCTGCAGTGCCCAAGGCGTACTATGAGAAAATACATACTGGTACATATAACGGTGTATATTTGTACCGCTCTGACTGGCTGGCAGGCGGACACGATGGGTTGGCAGGAAGTAGCAGGTAAGACAAAGCGTCTGCATACGTGTATTGTTGCATCCATAACAATAACAATAACAACAACAACAACAACAACAACAATCACAATACAACAAACAGCAAATCGCCAATAATCCTCCAGGTCATCAATGGGAAACCAAACAAAGTTTGGCGAAACATGAACGAAAGCTAAGAAATTAAGCCGGAAAGGCAACTGTTGGTGTTGAAGAATAGAGTTTTGAACTCGAGGATATATGTATGAATGACTGTATATTTAAAAGGCAGCTGAAACTGAAATTAACGTCGAAAGCATAACAGCGAAAGCCTTACTGCTGCCAGCAGCAGAGCAGAGAAGCAGGTGCGATTCACGAAAATAAAGCAATAAATAATGGCAAAAGAATAAATGGCAAAATGTAAAAGCAAAAAATTAATGGAAGTCAAGAAGGGTTATATGCAAACATTTGTATACCGAATAATAAAATGTGAAAAAATTAAAAAAAAAAAATGAAATAAAAATCAGCAAAGGCATACCACTGGAATTCACTACCTGCCATTTCTCGGTTTAGATTTTTAGTGCGCCGTCTTGAAATTCTCGTAAAAACACGCGATATTTACTTTAAATTCATATAAGAATTTATTTTATTCTTTTCCTTCTTTTATACATTTTTTATTCGTCTTCTCGCATTGCCAAAAAGTTGTAGAGTTGCATTAATACATATGTGTTTACAGTTGTTCGTACAACTGTTTGTATGTGCGTACAGGCATACATATATGTACTACAAATATATACGTCCGCATATGCGGTAAAGTGTGAAAAGGGTTTAAAAACCTGTTGGAGCCATGAAAATAATGGTGGCTTAGTCATACGCTGTTTTTGCGCAACTCTCTTTTATTGTTTCTTTCTTCACAGCAGTAAATTAAGTTTAATAATAAACGACAGTTATTTCATGTGCGAACGAAAATTCCCTTTTATTGCAATTTAAATACGTAAACTTTTTATCAATTGGCATTTTTTTTGAACAAAAAAAAAATTTCTGGAAAATAATATGTAACATAATATATAAAGAAAAATATATATATATTGGCAAAAAAACTCGGAGAGCCAATTTTCACAGGCATCTCTTGAGACCAACTTCTCACCATTAAGCGCGTTCGTTATGGACAGGAAAATATGGTAATGACTTGGTGCCAGCTCCGGACTGTAAAATGGGTGTACTTCCCATCCGAGCTCCGGGAGCTTCTGTCGCGTCACCAAAGACGTGTGTGGCCTCTTCTGGATGAGTGTGGCCTTCAAGCGGTCCATTTCTTGGCAGTAGAGGGCCGAATTGAGCGTTTGACCATAAGGGAGCAGCTCGTAGTAGATAATTCCTTGCCAATCCCACCAAACCCACAGCAAAACCTTCCTGGCCGTCAATCTGGTCTTGGCAACCGTCTGGGCCGCTTCCCCGAGCTTTGACCACGACAACTTGCGCTCGATGTTGTCGTAAGTGACCCATTTTTCATCGCCAGTCACAATCCGCTACAGAAACGGGTTGACTTTGTTGACACTGCGATTAAGCAGCGATTCGGAGATGGAAATTCGGTCCATCGTGTTTTTTTGCGTTAGTTCGTGTGGCACCCAAACACCGAGCTTCTTTTTGAATTCAAGGTTATGCAAATGGTTCCAAACGGGTTTCTGCCTAATCTTTAGTTCCTCAGCAATTAAAGAAGTGCTCACGTGACAGTCTGTTTCCACTAATTCCATAATTTTATAGCAGCTCATATAGCCCTAGTGATGTGGAAAGTAGAGCTCATAAAATAATTTTTTTCATATCTGAGTTATTCATAAATAGAAACCCCCTTTTAAGAAAATTTAAGCTGGTGTTTTTTCACTTTCTTTAAAAAATTTAATCGATTCTCATTTAGTAACGCTCATTCGAGGAAAAGCATAAAACAAAATTGAGCTTTGTCCTGGGGAGTATTAAGAGTTTTAGGTGGCAAAATTCAACAGTGTAGTTAACAACCAAAATATATTGACATTTAATATTCCGTTGAAAATTTATAAAAACATTATAATTAATATTAGTTAGTAAATACAAAACTAAATATAGTATTTACTTGTTTGACTAATAATTTCCAGCGCAATAATTATTTAAAATTAAAGCATAAANTTCCATGCAACAACAACAACAATAAAGAAATGCGTATTTATGTTCATATACGTACATATGTGTGTACATAAATTTGCGTCTCATACGAGTTGCCAGGTGTGAAATGAGCAGCAGCAATTGTCTTGAATGAGTACGTGTATGTATAAAATCGTAAGATAAATGTCTGGCACAGTTTACTCGACAACGGAATACATATATTACATATTTTTTTGAATTCTTGTGTGGGCCCAATGACAAAGTGGTGGTGGTGGTGGTGGTAGCATTGGTGTATAGTCTGATGTTGCAAACCTTGCGTGCCTCGGCATTATACCAAAAAAGTGAATAAACGCAGTGGCAGAAGCACCCACACGTGCGCCACTCAGAAGTTGTTACATGCATACATTCAAGTGTGCGAAAGCCTCAGGCTGCCATCGCGCAAGTTTGTGGCTTAAGTTTTTTGTTTCCTTTTGCACCAATAAATGAACTTCACTTTTTTGGCACTCATCGGCCGCACATATATGGTCGATTGGTTGGCTTATGAAATTTTTAGAGCTTTGTCCTGGAGATTATTTAGAGTTTTAGGTGGCAGAATTAAATAGTTAACAACCAAAATATGTTGACATTTAATATTCCGTTGAAAATTTATAAAAATATTATAGTTAATATTAGTTAGAAAATACAAAACTAAATATAGTATTTACTTGTTTGACTAATAATTTCCAGCGCAATAATTATTTAAAATTAAAGCATAAATTACCAAAAATTAATTAATATATGCTTGTTTACGCCTATATGACTTAGATATAGCAAATCTTTTCCTATATACTTTGAACCCGGAAGAAAACTTTTGGCTTCATTTTTTTGCATGCGTTAATTTGCGTAGTTAAAGACACGTAATTTCAAGTAGACAATTAGAGGTCGTCTCAGCGGTGGTGTAAAGGCAACACAATAACGACTTTTCTTCGTTGGCAGAAAAGTTGGCAGCAAGCAAATTTGTCCCTTTCGCCAATTAAGAGCAATTTTTAAAGTAAATGTGATATAACTAACGGTAAAAGTTGAACGTTTTATGAGGTCACTTTCTCTAATGAATTTAAATTTTATTTGGTTATAATTTAATTGATTTTATTGCAATTTTTATCATTTTATTTATTTATTTTTTTTTATCTAATTTTTTTCACAATTGTAAATTAAAATTTATAAAATTTTATTTTATTTTATTTTATTTTATTTTATTTTATTTCATTTCATTTCATTTCATTTCATTTCATTTCATTTCATTTCATTTCATTTCATTTTATTTTATTTTATTTTATTTTATTTTATTTGTTATTTCTTCATTTTATAATTTGCAAATATTGGTCACGTTTTGCATGGGAATATATGTGCAATTTATGAATTTGTATGTATTTATTTGTATTTATATGGAAACAATTTTACTTTTCAGTAATTATGAAATATTACATATTTTTTTGAATTCTTGTGTGGGCCCAATGACAAAGTGGTGGTGGTGGTGGTGGTAGCATTGGTGTATAGTCTGATATGGCAAACCTTGCGTGCCTCGGCAGTCTACCAAAAAAGTGAATAAACGCAGTGGCAGAAGCACCCACACGTGCGGCACTCAGAAGTACTTACATGCATACATTCAAGTGTACAAATGCCTCAGGCTGCCATCGCGCAAGTTTGTGGCTTAAGTTTTTTGTTTCCTTTTGCACCAATAAATGAACTTTCACTTTTTTGGCACTCATCGGCCGCACATATATGGTCGATTGGTTGGCTTATGAAATTTTTATTTCTATTTTTTTTCTTGTTTTGCGAAGCTGTTGGCCATTTCGGCTAAAATAGCTTTATAACAGTAAGTTTCAATTACTACGGTTTAATTTGTACCCACAACATACATAGATACATATTTACAGACACACGATGAGAAGAGTGAATTTCTTCATTTTTTTCTGTTTTTCGACTAGCTCCCCCTAATGCAATTTTTATTATACCTCTCCTGCCATCAATTATGCAAATTCGCTAATAATTTCAAATAAACCGCTTACTGGTTTGATATGTAGTTAACGGTAATTGCTAGTGGCTTCGAAGGTTTTTGGGTTTTAATTGCTAACAACAGTCGAGGAGATAAGGAGGTAAAAGAAGTTTAATAAATTTTAAATAATCTAAAATAAAATAAAATATATTAACACATACGTAATAATAATTAAAATTAACATTATCTAAGTAAGATATAAAATAAAAAACAAAGTAAACTAACATAAGAATTAAATTAAAGTATGGCAATAAAATTAATGATAATATAATACAACATTTCTATTAAATGAAAGAAAATTAAAATAAAGCATAAAACATAAAACATAAAATAAAAGAAATTAAAATAAAATCTTATTAATAAAATTCAAGTAAACTATATAAAATAACATAAAACAAAGTAGACAAAAAAAAATAAGTGAATTTAAGTAAATTATAAATAGAATTAGTTTATTATAATTAAATAAATGAAAATATAATATTAAACCTTAAAAAAAAAAGACAAGAAAAAAAATTGAATAAAACAAAATAAGATAAAATAAATTAAGAAATAATATAATTTAAAATTAAAATTAAGTAAATTAAATAATAAAAAATTAAATAAAAGCAATAAAAATAATTAAATAACAAACTAAAATAAAAAAATATAAAATAAAAAAATAAAAAAATTAATAAATATTAATATACAAAATTTATATTAAAAGGAAAAAATGAAATTGATATAACATAAAATAAAAGAAAATGAAATTAGACATAGTAGAAAAAATAAAAGCAGTAAAATAAAATTTAGTAAATATAGAATTTAAATATTAAAATTCAATAATTCAAAATGTAATATAAAATTTATGTTAAATAGAAGAAAAGAAGAGAATAAAAATAAAATATTACAAAATAAGATAACATAAACAAATTTAAATAAAATAAAACTATGCAAACGAAAATTTTATTGATCTAATTAAATAGCAAAAAAAAATAGTACATTAAAATAAAATAAATTATAATAAACTTAATGGAATGAAATAAAATAAGATATCGAATAATAATAAAATTCAACTTTAACCGAACTTAAGTTAAATTAAATAAAACTTAAGTTAAGTGCAATAAAAATAATAGTAATAAAAGGAAATAAAATATATTAAAATGAGATAAAATAAAAAATAAACCAAAATTAAACTTAATTACATAATGAAATTTAATGCTAACCAAAATTAGAGATTAAATTAAATTAAAGCAAACTAAAATAAAAACTTAAATAAAAAAATACGACCGAAAATCAATTTGAAATGATAGAAATAAAGTAAAGTAAACGAAAATATATTAAAATAAACAAATATATATGTTAAAATAAATAAATAAAACAAAATTAAATGAAATACTAAAAAAATGAGTTAAAACAAAAGAAATTTAATTCATTTTGGAAAAATAAGGTAAAATAAAATATAATTAAATTAATTTCTTTACTTATTTATTTGTAATTACGGCTACGATTTTTAATTACAAAGAAATTCGCATACTTCAGCGGAAAAGAAATTCCATTTAAATACCGCGTACTTACTCCAAAAACAAATTTCACAACTGTGTACATTTAACCTATAACTTTTTTTTCGAATTATCTCCGATGCAAAATTAGTTCATGCGACTGTTATTCACAAGATCATTTACGTACAGTTAGAGAAGAGAAACAAAATGAGCGGAGGAGACGGAGTACTTTTGCGTTTGTATGCGCAAACGTGTGCAGACATAAAATGCATCTCATTTCCGCTAAACACAATAACAATAACAAACAAAAAACAATAACCATTTTTAATGCCATTGTAATTTGAGCGTAATTCCTCGAGAGTTCTTTCACGTCT